AACAGAGGAGCAGAAGCAGCGGTGGCAGGAGTATCAGCAGCTGCTGCCGCCGCTGACCCTTCCACCGGTGCTAGAACGCAGGCTGAAAATGCAGGAGGCTGTTCTGAAGAGGCAAGAGGCTTTGCTTCGGGAAGAGTTGCAGCAGCAGAAGCTGCTGCAAGAGCAGAAGCAAGTGGAGGAGAAAAAGCAGTTGCTGGACCAGCAGCAGATGGGGAGGCAGCAGCTTGCAGACCAAGGGGAGGCAGGACTTCTGTTTTGAAAAGCAGAAGCAATCGGAAGGTGGGCCAGCTGAGGAGAACAATGGGAGGGAAAAGCAGCAGCTAAAGCCACAGGAAGGCGAGCAGCAGCAGCAGCAGCACCAGCAGCAGCTGGCACAGCCACAGTCACAGCAGCAGCCGATACTACCAGCCCCATCCGCCCCAGAAGCCACGGCTGGAGCCGCAGCCCCCCCAGCAGCCCAGGAAGGATCGTGACCGTCCGTTGTGCGGCAGAGGATCTGCCACTCGGACGAGTTCATCCGCCTGCCATCTGGCATGACTGCCAGCGGGGCGGCAGCCTTGTTGGCCTGTCCACGGCGAGCGCACCGCGTGGCAGCTGCTGCCACGTCAGCAGAGTCTCCAGCGGGCGGCGGAGCGGGCAGCGGAGTCGGAGGAGGCGGGGGAGGAGGAGAATGGGGAGAAGGAGCAGGAGCAGGGAGGAGGAGGGGGAGGTGGTGGTGGTGGTGGTGGTGGTGGTGGTGGTGGGGGTGGTGGTGATGGCGGTGGTGGTGTTGGGGCAGTGGGAGTGGAGCAGGAGATGCAAGGGAAGAGGGGCGAGATGGTCGAGGGAAATCCCAATATCTCTCTCCGGATCAGGCATTTCGACAGCAGTGCTCAAAGCACAATCTGATGCCATGACACATAGCATGACACATAGCATGACACATAGTATGTCACATAGCATGACACTTACCATGACAGATCATGCTGTGACGCCCACGCGTTCCCCCATCTGCACGCCACCACCGTACGCCCGCACGCTCACCTATGGCCAGTCCCGCTCTGCTTCAACCGCTACCGCATCAGGAGCCTGGGGGCCATTCCGCCAGGGGGCCTTGTGGCTGGGTCGATAGTGGTGGGAGGAACGGCAGGGGGAGCAGGAGCAGGGGGGAAGTCTGTAGGAGAAGGGACGGATCTGGAGGCCATGCTAAAAGGTGCTGCTGGTGCTAGTGCTGGTGCTGGTGCTGGTGCTGGTGCTTGGTGCTGGTGCTGATGCTGGTGCTGGTGCTGCTGACGATGATGCTGGTGCAGGGGCGAGTGCTGCAGAAGCAAGTCCTGAGGGGAGCAGGGTGGTGGTGGCTGGTGAGAAGGAGCAGGGTGGGGGCGGCCAGCAGGCTGCGGGGGTCAGTGGGGCTCACAGCGCCCTCAGGCCTCACGTGGGATGAGGAGATTTCTCGGCAAGCTGGCTCTGCGGGCGTGCAGGTGCGGCCCACCAGCAGCAGCGCGTGTGTCAGCGCCACTCACACCACGCAACAGCCTTCCTCCTCTTCTGATTTGCACCAGATTGACGTTACGCAAGGAGGAGCGGCAGAATCTGTTGCTGCTGAAGCAGTAGTGAGTCCGTGTGATGGAGAGCGTGCCAGTGCCCGTCTCTCAGTCTCTGACTGGGTGTCCGAACCTCCCTCGCCTCAACACCTCCTACTGCGGAAGCTGCGGCGGCAGGAGGAGCAGAGGGAGCAGCTGGAGCTTCTGCACCAGGTGAATTTTCAGGTGAATTGCAGGTGGAGGCTCAGATGAAGGCTCAGGTGGAGGCACAGGGAAGCTGGAGGGAAGGGGACAAGGCAGCAGCGTTTTCTTCGCTATTCCCGAGGCATCGAGGCAGATCTCTGCTGCTCTGCTGACTGCCTTGGGACAGCAGCAGATGCAGGAACAGGATCAAGAACTGCCGGGCGGGCACACGGCCTCCCGCTTGAATCAGCAGCAGTTGTTTCTGCATTCGCCGCGCCAGGAAGCCTCATTAGAATCCCTTCCTCGGCATCACCAGAAGCAGCCGCAGCAGCAGCAGCAGCAGGCGGGTCCAACCACTCCCCCAAGCCACCTGCACCAGTTATCACCTACCCCGATTTCACCGAGCTCTCCATTGACCTATCAGAGACCATCCCCGTCACCCCCACTCGCTCTGCCAAGGGCGTCTCTCTGCCCACCTCCCCTGCTGCTGCCGCCTTTGCTGCAGCGGTGGCGGAGGTGGACCGTCCGGATTCGCTGTACCGGAACAGATGCTGCGAGCAGAGCAAGCGGGGGGGAATAGCCTGGGGGCGGAGAAAGGTGCCGGGGGTCGCAGGCGTCCTGGCGGTCTGGGAGCGGTGCTAGCAGTGGGAGCGTGGGCAGGGGGAAGACAAAGCGCAAGGTGAGTGTGTGTGGAGGTTGGGGGGTCAACTGGGTTTTATCTGGGTCAGAGAAAGGCGCATGGGGGTCGCTCGCATCGTGGCGGTCTGGGAGCAGTGCTAGCAGTGGGAGCGGGGGCAGGGGAAGAGGGGGAGGACAATGCGTAAGGTGAGTGTTTGTGGAGGTTGGGGAGTCAGTTGGAATGATCCGGGGCTCCAAGAAAGGTGCAGGGGGGCTAGTTGGATTGTGGCAGTCTGGGAATGCGGTGCTAGCAGCGGCAGTGTCGGCAGGCGCAAGTCAAGAGCAAGGTGATTCGAACCGCGGTGCTTGCGGCGGCAGTGTGTGCATTGTGTGCCTGACTTTTGTTTCTCCCTGTGCTTCAACATGTGTTTCGTTATTGCACCTTTTGTATTGTGTGCTTGACCTTGTGTCCGTGGTGTGTGTGTGCGTTTGCCTGTATGCAGAGCTTCCCGCCTGCTGCATGATAAGCTGAGCTCTTTGCTCTCTGCATGCAAGCCATTCAACATGGTAACTGGCAACCACATCATGTCCCATGGCAACTACATCATATCACATGGTAACTACATCATGTCACATGGTAACTACATCATGTCACATGGGAATACATATCGCATGGTAAGTACATCATGTCATATGGTAACTACATATCACATGGTAACTTCACCGAAGTGCTTGTCTTCTAAGTGGCATCCCTCAGTTTGCTTCAAGCTCTTAGTTATGTTCATCCAACTGCACCCAGAATTGCTCAGAACCCACTGCACAATTGCGAGATCTCCCCTTCGGGTACACAAATCCCTAAGAACCTCCCGCTGCTGTTACTCCAACTGGTGCAGAATCTGCTTTGGGCCTTTGGTTGGAGCCCCTTCTATTAGATTTACAGGTAGGTAGGGATGTAGGGTAGGATACTAGTATGGTTATAGAATGCGCTGTTGTCTTTGATAATCTATGTATCTCGTTAGTGTAAGTTCTTTCCACATTCTCGTTATAATACCAAGTATTGTGGGATGGTGCTTCCACATTCTCGTTATAATACCAAGTAACATCACGTTGCTACCCTTCTGCTTGGAAGCTGGGCAGCACAGCATGATGCTCGTTGTTAAAATAAGTTATAATTATAGGCTTGGTATACTTACTGAATACTGCTGTAGAGGGTACAACACCCCTTCTTGTATGCCTCTGTCTTCTTTTCAATCCCCAACTTTTTTCTCGACATTTCTCCTCACGACTCACGTTCCTAGATCTACTTTCCTCCCACCATCCCATGGCGTCATTCCTAGCTAAGCTAGTGTCCTAACTTTAGGAACCTAGACTCCTAAGTTTCTGAGATGGTATCAGAGAGGTCCGCTCCTAGCGGGCCTGCTCCTCACGATTCCGCCGCGCTTCCTCTCCTTTTCCTCACGCTGCCATGGCGGCCGGGCTGTCAACTTATACATATTAGCTATGTAGAAGTTATAGGCTAGACGGGGGTATGCTTCTAGTGAGTACAACCAACTAGTATTTGTTCTAGGTTTCCTCCTTCTAGTTCATCATTCAGTTCCTACTTTAACATGGTATCACGCGCAGGTTAGAATCCCCCACCTACCGCTTCCACCCGTACCCTAGCTAGCCCCGTCGCGCCCGCCTGGCCCGCCGCCGCGCCCCTCCTGGGCCTCGTCGCGCCTCCTAGCCCGTCGCGCCCCTCCTGGGCACCGCCGCGCCTCCTAGCCCCGTCGCGCCCCTCCTGAGCCCGTCGTGCCCTCCTGGGCCCCGTCGCGCCTCCAGCCTCGTCGCGCCCCTCCTGGCCCTGTCGCGCCTCCTAACCCCGTCGCGCCTCCTAGCCCCGTCGTGCCCATCCTGGGACCCGTCGTGCCTCCTAGCCCGTCGCGCCTCCTGGCCCCGCCGCGCCTCCTAGCCCTCGTGCCCCTCCTGGGCCCCGTCGTGCCTCCTAGGCCCGTCGCGCCCTCCGGCCCCGTCGCGCCCTGCCTGGCCTCGTCGCGCCGCTAGGCCCCGTCGCGCCCTGCCTGGCCCCGTCGCGCCCTGCCTGGCCCGTCGCGCCATGCCTGGCCCCGTCGCGCCTGCCTGGCCCCGTCGCGCCCTGCCTGGCCCCGACGCGCCTGCCTGGCCCGTCGCGCCTGCCTGGCCCTCCGCGCCTGCCCGGCCCTGCCCGCCTGCCTGGCCCGCCGCGCCTCCATGGCCCCGCCGCGCCTCCATGGCCCCGCCGCGCCTGCCTGGCCCCCCGCGCCTGCCTGGCCCCGCCGCGCCTGCCTGGCCCCGCCGCGCCTGCCTGGCCCCGCCCGCGTGCTCCTGGCCCCCCGCCGCCGCGCCTGCCTGGCCCCGCCGCGCCTGCCTGGCCCGCCCCGCCTGCCGGCCGCCGCCTGCGCCTGCCCTGCGCCCGCCTGGCCGCCGCCTGCCTGGCCCCCGCGCGCCTTCCTGGCTCCTCTGCGCCTGCCTGGCCCCGCCGCGCCTGCCTGGCCTCGCCGCGCTCCCTGGCCCCGCCGCGCCTCCCTGGCCCGCGCCGCGCCTCCCTGGCCCCGCCGCGCCTGCCTCGCCCCGCCGCGCCTGCCCTGGCCCCTGCTGCGCCTGCCTGGCCCCGCGCGCCTCCCTGGCCCCGCCACGCCTCCCTAGCCCCGCCGCGCCTGCCGTGCCACCTCGAGCTCCGTCTCCTCTGCTCGCCAGCGCCGGGGCGTCTCGCGCGGCGCCGTGCTGGAGAGTGCTGCGCCGTGTCCCTGCGTGCTGTGGTCCCTGCGGAGCTGTGGAGCTGTGCCGCTGACCCTGCACGATGGCTGACTTCGTGCTCCGACTGGACGCCGAGGGCCATGCGGTTGACTTCGCCGACTGGCTCTCCGATCTCCTCCGCCACCTTAAGATCAGCGCCAGGATGGCCACTCTTTGGTTGTCCATGTCGATGGCTTGCTCCCCGCTCCCCCGCACCTGCCCTCCTCCCTGCTGACCCCTCCTCTGATGACCGTGAGACCTTCTCTACTACTGCGCTTGCCTGTGCAGTCTGGGACTCCCGCGATACAGTCGCTTAGGTTGCTATTAGCCACGCCCTCCTGTGTCTGAGCGCTCGCGATTTGCTACTGTTGAGACGGCCAAAGCCTACTTAGACGCCGTTATTGCTCGCTATTCCACACCCGCGTTTGCTTCTGCTGGTCGCTTGCTCTTCCCGATACTGTTCCCAGACCTTGCAGCCTTCCCTACCGTCGCAGACTTTGCCACTCATCTGCGTGCACTAGAGACCCGCTATCGCACTGCCAGCACTGCTGCCCCCAGCTGACTGCGCTCCCCCCCCTTTCTGCATGACGCTCTATTTTATCGCCATGCGCCCAGACCGCCTCGCTAGTGCTCACGATCACTTCCTTAGCCAGCACCCGGGTGACCTCACCCTCACCGCCTTTGTCGACACCCTCACCGAGATCGAGACTCGCAGCGCACTATCGCTCAGTCGAGCGGTGCGCCGGCAGTCTCTATCTTTCACGGCTGTGCCCCCTCCCAGTGCACGTTCACTGACGTTTCGGCTGCGGTCGCCACGGCGACCCCTCTCACCGAGACGGCTGCTGCGGTCCACCCGCAGCAGCGCTCGCGCCGCGGTGGCCGTGGTCGCCAGGGAGTAGGGGTGGTGGCGCAGTGTGGTGGTCGTGGTGGTGGTGACGGTAGTCCGCCTGAGGGGACTACCACCGGTGGGCAGGAGCAGCCCCAGCCGCAGCAGAGCACCCCAGCAGCAGCCGCCGCCCAGCAGCAGCCGCCGTCCCAGCAGCCGCCGTCCCAGCAGCAGTCGCCGCAGCCGTGGGCCGTCTCCCGCCTGGTTGGCCCGGCACCTCCGGAGGTGGTGGCCGTGGTGGCGGCCCGCGCAGCTCGTCTACCGCGGCTCCGGTGCTGTCACCTGCCAGTACCAGCTTCAGACCGGGCCTCTTCGCGGCACTCTGTGCCGCCGCCCGCACCCGACCGCCCGCTGTTTCCGCCGCCTCGACGATCTCTTTCGTCGTCGCTTTGGCCCGGCCCCGGACCTCCCCGACTGGCACAGCCTGCTCCGCCAGGGCGTGCCGATCTTTGAGTTAGACATGGATCAGATAGGTGCTGCTTTGCATGCTTTGTATTCTGACGCTTCTAGTGTTGCTGGATCTTATTACCCTGTGTACTCTAGTTTAGGTGTTGCACCTTGTGTAGCTTAGCCTTCCCCTGCTGCGTCAGGCGTAGGACTGCCTAGTTGCCTAGTCTAGTCGCTGCACCGGCTCCGTCCGGCCTCCGCCACTGCTCGCTGTCCTTCACTCTCGACTCCGGTGCTTCTGCCTGCTTCTTCCGCGACCGTTCCGCTCACGCCGCTTGCTGCCCTGCTGTTGTCTCTCTCGCTGACCCCTCTGCGGGTCCTGTCGTCGCGCGCAGTTCTACGTCCCTTCCCTGTCCGGCAGTTCCCTCGGGCTCCCTTACAGGCCTCCACGTTCCCTCGTTCTCGAGGAACCTGGTTGGTGTCGGCTGTCTCCAGGACCTCGGCGTCACCACCACGTTCCCCGGGCACGAGCGGTTCGCTGTCTGTTCTGAGGCTGTCTCAGGTTCCCCCCTTGCGACGTTCCCCCGGGACCCGGTGTCCGGTCTGTTTACCCTACACACCGCTTCCCCCCCGGTTGGTGCGTCCTCCAGGTCGCTGCAGCTTGCTCGTGTCGGTCCCTCACTCACCCGTCCCTTCTCTGGCACCACCGCTTAGGTCACCCTGCTCTCCCCGTCTGCGTCACATGTCCCAGCACGGTCTTGTCTTAGGTCTCCCGCGTCGCTCCCTGCCCTTCCTCCCTCGACTGCGCCACCGTGCACGCCTTGCGTCGAGGGTCGGCTCCGCCGTGCTCCTCACTCCTCCTCGCTGCGCCTGCTACTGCCCCCCTTCAGACCCTGCACCTGGACGTTTGGGGCCCTGCCCCCGTCCCCGGACCGCGAGGTGAGCGCTACTTCCTTGTGCTCGGTCGACGACTACACGCGCTACACCACGGTGTTTCCCCTGGAGCGGAAGGCCGACGTGCCCGACGTTCTTCTCCCGTGGGTTGTGGCTGCGCGTCTTCACCGCGGCCTCCCCGTGTTGTGTCTCCACTCTGACCGTGGCGGCAAGTTCGCCTCTGGTCGGCTTGGACAGTTCTGTCGTGCGAGGGCATCACCCAGTCGTACACCTTGCCGGACTCGCCACAGCAGAATGGGGTTGCTGAGCGCCGCATCGGCTTGGTCATGGAGGTTGCCCATACCTCCATGATTCATGCCGATGCCCCCCATTTTCTGTGGCCGTTCGCTGTTCGCTACGCTGCTCACCAGCTTAACTTGTAGCCGCGCTCCCAGCGGCCGCAGGTTTCGCCGACCCTCCTTTGGACCGGGTCCCCGGGTGACGTGTCTGCGTTCCACGTCTGGGGCTGCCTTGCTCACGTTCGTGCCTCTGGCACGGACAAGCTTACTTCCCGCACTGTCCCTTGTGTCTTCCTCGGTTTCCCCCTGGACTCGTCTGACAGGCTTTTCTACCACCGCCATCTCACCCGCTTCCTCCACTCTCGTGACGTCACCTTGACGAGTCTGTCTCCTTCTACCCGCTGCTTCCCTCACCGAGGTCTCCCGGTTGCCCTGCCTCTGTTCCTTGCTCCCTCTCCCCGGTAGCCCCTGCTCCTCTCCCGCCTCGCCCTGCCCTGTCTGGTGTCTCTCACGTCACTCCCATCCCGTCGGTTGTCCCCGTTGAGGAGTCCGCTGACTCTGGTGGTACCCCCGGCCCGTCCTTACCGCGTCCCCCTTCCCGGTGTCTTTGCCTCCGCTGTCGCAGTCGCCGCCTCCGCCGCAGCCGCCGCCGCCGTCGCCGCCGCTGCCGTCGCCGCTGCTGCCGCCGCCGCTGCCGCCGCCGCCGCTCTTGGCCCCTAGGGGTGCTGGTGTGGAGGAGGGTGTTCGTCCTGCGGCTCCTGGGGTGCCGCTGGTGTTGGAGGGGGTTCTCGCTCTGGGGTGTTGGTTCTGGGGGTGCTGTGTTGAGGTTCCGCCGACGGTCGTCCTGCCTCTGCCGGTCCGAGGGTTCCGTCCCAGCCG